GTCTTTAAGGAGAGATAACTAAAAATCTCTAGTGTAGCTGTGCAAAACTATAGAATTACTATACACATATGGAAGAGAATATATTCTCTGTATTTTTTAGGACAGTCATAAATTATTTTAAGCAGAATTTGAAATATTGTAACATCTTTTACATCAGGATATTGCTTCATCAGAGTATTAATATTTGTATTTTGAACTGCCTCAAAAATGTATAATATTCTTTGCCATTAATTCTTTTTTCCCCACAGAAATTGTTCCCTTCAAGTACTGTATTAAGGATTAATGTAAAAGGAACATTGTGAATGCATTATCTTTTAAATTCCTGACTATTTCAGGTCTAGAATTCTGTCTGGACAGACAGAGGACAGTTTTCACTGACGTTTGTAAGGTTACAGGTGGGAAAAAATTAATTATTGTACAACTGTTGTCTGCATACACAATATCTTTGTTTCTCAAATACTGGCAGCCACTTGGTTTTGGCAAGTCTAGCACAGCTGGGCTCAACTTTTCAAATTCATGTCCAGTGTGGGGGGGTTTTCCTCCTTTATTTATACCTATAATGACCCGTCATGATACCCATTTCTTGGCTTCCTATTTTGGGATCTTTTGTGACATCTTTTCCTATGGAGTACCCGTGCGGGGAATTGAAATGCAAAGAGAAGTGATGCTCTGTATGTCTTTTCGGGATGTCCAGATGAAATGTTAGGTGAGACTCCCAAAGTTGAGGTCTCCTCCTTTTGTGGAGAAACAGAGGATAAGGACCCTTTTTTATTGTGCAAGAGGCCACTTGCAGTTTGCCAATGTGTTGACAAAGGTCTAGTCTTTAGATAGGAGGGGCCGTGATCTCTTCTTAAGTATGTCATGGGGCCAGGGTAGTTCAAAGAAAACAAAATTTAGAAAAAATCTTTAGCTTTCTGATTATGAAATTTCTTTTTACAAAGCATTCTACACCCTCCATCCCAATTAGCAATGTTCAGCACATCCAAAATTCAGTTATCATTTGGGAACACAGAATCTGTTACATATTTTATGGCCATCACCCTGTATTTCAGACTTCAAAATAAGCTTATTCAAAATAAAAAGGGTTCCTAGTCTAATATAAATTGAAATCTTATATATTCTTCCTAATGCCATAAAAAACATTTTCCAGCTGTAAGCAGTTCTTGCAGGACAGAAAATTGTGATTCAGCATGTTGAGTGCTTCCAAACCAAAAATTTAAATGAACACAGATTGATTACTGGGTAATTAGTATTGATAGAAGCTGAAGTTAGGTCCAAAACATTGACGTTGTTTCTGACTGGCTAACTCTTCTGTTGGAAAGTTTCACATTGAGTGAAATTTCAATCTTGTATAACCAAAAAAAGAAGTTTGAAATGTCTGACTTTCCTGGAGAACAGATATTCCCCTGTGCTCACCAGCCCTTCTCCAACCTGTGAAAACTGACACAAGAAGTTGTTTACAGAAAGAATTTACAGTCTATTAATATAAAAAAAATATTAACCTTGAAAAAGCAACAGCATTCCACTGGTTTTCTTGGTAACCGTGTGCCCTGTTAGACCAGGCATACTCTGAAATGCGTTTCATTTCTGGCATGTGGCATGTCTTTGTCCAAAAGCTTCTAAAGTCCCATACAAAATGTAGTTCTCTTTTAGTTTTATAACTGTGGCTCTAATGCAGATAATTTCCCAGTGTAGAACTGATGGAGGACATCAGCATTTTAATGGCATGGGGGAGTTGCTGCTCTGAAGCATTACCATAAACCAAAGGCTTCCTAGGTGACACTGAGAGGTTCTGGGTGCTGTCTGCTGCCATCTTTGTGTGTGGAAAGGCTCAGCTCACCTCCAAATTTCCATGAAGCTGTTCACTAAAATATTTATCTGTTCCAAAGAAACGTCTTGGTGCCAAGCTTGAGAATAGATGACATTTCAGCATGTTTGTTCGCAACTCATGAAATATATAAGTGTGCAATTTTCTGTTTCTCACTAGTTTGGCTTTTATACCTAAATTACAGCCAGGTGTACAGCTCAGGCCTTGCTTGAACTTTGATGGTTTGCTGATCTTTTTACTATAAGTGTGCACAAGCAAGATGGTATAAATGGCTTGCCTTTTTCTTAAAACCCGAAAGGTCATTATGTTTTAGTACACTCAGGTGGTGCTTCAAAGAACTCTTTGTTATTTTACACAGCTAATTCTAAGTAGATCTACGTGATATTTCCAGTACCAGAACCTCAATTAAGCCCTTTATTCTTGTAAAACCTCATTTCTGCTAAAACTTGAATGTACTACATTGCTAAACCTGAATATTTTAGAATTTTTTAAACCTTAGAGTAAGTGTTTCTAAAAATAAACTGGCATCGACTTTTTCAGTATCATTTAATACGCGTAACAAACCCCCTAACCTGAAAAAAAGGAGAGTTATGTTTTGAAGGAGATTCGATTTCCAAAAGAACAAAACAAAGTTTAAGCTTTGACAACAAGCTGGGGAACAAAAGAAACCCAAGTCATTGAGGAAAAGTACCTAATCATCATGTCAGCTTGACATACTCAATTGTAGGATAGAACTTTCTTTTCAGTGATCTGTTTTGAAAGCCGTGAAATAGTCAATAGCAAATGTTAATCTCTCAAGATGTGTGAACCCTCAAAAAAACCCAACCACCATGGATCCGTTTTGCATGGTGTTGACCTGAATAAAGGGATAATGTGCTTAAGCAGCTTATTCATTCTTCAGTGGCTTTTGGAAAGAGAGCGGCTCCACAATGATTTGCCACTCAGGGCTCAGACGTGACCACTGTTCTTTTCACTTGCTGAATGTTTCATTCTTTCGTCTCCACCCCGGGTTTCTCCATACGTTGTTCCAAACAGGACTATAAAGGAACTTTTGGGGGCTATTTCTTGTCGAACTGTAACGTTTGTGAAGCAGAATGCACTGAGCTGTAAAGGAATTTTGAACTCTGGGTATATAGTTGGCCAAGCTTTTCATCAGAGATGTGTCACTGAATTAATTGTCTCTGCTTGCGAGACTTCCCAGGCTGGAAGTTTAAACATACTCAGAAACGTTGCATTAATTGTTTTAAGTATTCCACATTATATTCCAGCATCAAAGGTATGTGAATAAATTAATGTAGTGGTCTTATAAATGGAGTTGTTTCAGAGTTCTGAGTTTTAGCATTGTCTATAGATTTAAATGCTCACAGACATGAAAGATGCGAAAGTGCCAAAAGGAGTGTAAGATCCTATGTTTCAGGCAGACCTGTGGCTTGTTTAGCACTTTCCAAACAGCATAAAGCCAGTTTGTCTTGAGCTGATTTCAGAGAATCACTCCCCAATTTAATCTGGCTTCTTGAAGAAATCAGCATGACTCAGTCTGGCCCTGAACTGTTTTGGAAACGTTTCTTCAGAATTTAAAAAATAAAAGGACCGAAGATATAGATAGATAGAGTGATTTGGGTTTTCTGTTTTGTTTTGGTTTTTTTTGTTTTTTTCTTTTTAAGCATTGTTTTACAAAATGAGAAAACAGACATTGTTTAATAAAAAGCTGTGGAATTATGTTAAAAGAGCAAATCAATTTAGGAAGAAGAGTTATGAGTGTTGGAAAGGGCATAAGTCACACTGAATTAGACTGTGGAGCATGTGGTATGCTTGCACAGGATATGGAGCAGCAGAAGCCTACTGGTGTGGAAAGCTGTGGCAATGGGACTTTAGAAATGGGATTTCAGAAATGGGATTTCTCTTTCTGAGTCCTACCTTGATGCTCCTGAGAGAGGCTCCTGCCACTTGGCAGTTCTGCTTTCCAATCTTGCGTGCTCAGTCTATTGGAAAGCACAAGCATCTCCCACAGGGTTTCCAAACTTGTCTTAAGTTTTCACGTTGCTAGTTCATTTGCAATTCGTGTGAATTCAACTCCTAAAGAAATAAAATTAGAAACATGGTCTGTATTTTTCTTTATGATGGTTTTCTAGTTAAAGTTTGTGTACACATTTCTGCAGCCATGTTGGTTTTAGCAAATTGGTTTTGGATGAAAAATGTTTGGTCAAGCTCCCGACTGCTCCTGCAAGCTGTTTGGGCATGTGTGGGAGGATTGCACACTTGGTACAATGGAGAAATTAGCTTATTCATTTTCAGAGGCCTGTGGGAAAAAATGTCAAAGAGTGTCTTTATGCGAGAGTTCCTGGAAGAGCCAGTGAAAGTCTTGAGACTTGCTGTAGCTGGAATGAATTGTCAAAAGTGATTGTAAAATACTTTGAGCACGTTTAGTAATTTGTATGTTATAATTTAGAAATACATCAGGCAAAACCAAGACCTTCTAGGAGTGAAGACATGGAATAATACAGGCTTGGTATTTTTGTGGACCTAGGGAAAAGTCTGGATCATAAATCTAAGAGAAGAAAAAGTACAAGATTTAAGCGTGGACAAATTCAGAAATCATACCCAACCAATGGACCTGGGTATCTGAAATGGAGAATGCTGGGCTACAAACTGATAATTTAAGAAGCTTGGAAAGAAAAGGTTAAAGGCTTGACATTTTTGGCATATTGAATTTTAGAAAGCAGCATATTTTCTGAATGTCAGCTCATCAACACAATTGAAATGATGGGACTCTGGGAGAAAGTTGTGAAACATGATGATAAAAGCAAAGAAAATGGCTTTTTAAAAATGTCAGAGCACTGCCAGGATGTAAAGGAAAAAGACAAAAGTACCAACTGAAGCTTTAAAAGATACTTTTGAAACCTGACTTCCCAGAATAAACTTTTACTTTTTCACTCAGAAACAATACACCTCCTTTAAGAGCTAGGGTATCCCTTTTCCTTGATACAAAAGGGTGTTTCTTTAATCTCTGTTGTGTTTCTTAGGTCTTTTATATAGAGGTGGATAAATGGGCATGTACTTCATATGCTTGGATTAATCCTCAAACACTGTGTTGTTGTCCCCTTTTTATTAACTTCGAGTATACTCATGTAACTTGCTTATGTAATAGTTCAAACTTTTTGGTTTTTAACAGATGTTGCTGAAAGATCCTTTGTATATTGGGCTGAGACACAAGAGAGTCAGAGGTCAAGCCTATGATGATCTTCTTGATGAATTCATGGAAGCTGTAACTTCAAGGTATGTGATATATCCGTGCTATTCATTGGTGAATTCCACTGTGAACTTCATCTTCTGAGAAATAAAGGTCAGTAGCTTATGAAAGGACGACAGAGCTGTTAAGTTGCTGATCATTTTTATTTTGAGCATAGCATTTTGTAAGTTTGTAACTCTTTAAACTACTTGCCTTTAATATTGCAGTTTTATGAATTCACTGCATGACTGGTAAAACTCATCTTGAGATAAACTATTATTTTCAAACTTCTTTTTCAAGATCTGGATTGTGTTTGCCTAGTAATTTTCTATGCCTAGCACTGTGCCTGTGTGATTTTCTCTGTCTCTGTGATTTCATGTGTGAGATGTCAGTAGCCTGCAAGAAGCTATCAGACCTGGCAACCCCTGTCTCTGTCCCCACAGAAACCACAACAGAACTAAGCTTTCATATTTTGTTTTTAAATGTCATGGTATGGACCTATACCAAGTCGGATCTTTCTCTTGCTTTTTTATTTCCTATACAGAAAATAGTTAAATTTATTATTGGACCATGATGCATAAAATAGTCTTCTCACATGTCAAGTGACACATTTACTCATATTTTCCTTGTTTGTTAAAATATTTGGAGTCTAGCCCTGCATTCAATGTATATACCTAAAATAGCCCAAGTGCCAGCATCCTTAGCAGAATGTATTTTCTGCATATGCATCCCAAAACTGGGGCTGAGCTGTGGGACCTGAAAATACTTCCCAACTCCTCAGTCTTGGCTTGTACCCCATCTACATTTTGACTCCATGTTGGGACCCTACCTGGACGTGCACAATCTCTGTTCTTCCTGTCCTAGTTCCTGTGCAAAAGAAACTTGGGCAAGCTGTAGTATTAATTTCCATACCAGGAGTTCCATTGTATTCCTCCTTATCAGCCCCAGTTGGCTGACACTCCTTTGTTCATAATCCTGCTATGGAAGTTGCTGGTTTGGCTCCCCTATAATGTGTTTGCTCATCTTCTGAGTATTCCCTTTCTGCTAAAATTGATGCATTTCACCTTCCCAATAGAAGGTTTAGAGCATTAGAAATTGCTCGGTGGACTGTGTCTTGAGGATCTCTAACTTAATGCACTCCCTAACTCGCCATTTCTTTAAAATGGACCACAGTTATTCATACGGAAGAAAATAATCAGAGTCAAATAGAAGATCATCTCAAGAATGTCTGAAGGTCTGGTTGACATGGTTTTTTTACTTAAACATCTTTAAAACTATAATTTTGAGCAATTCATGTTTGCTTGGCCTTCTGAAAGATCACTTGGTTCTCAGCTAAATCTGTCATGGTCTATAATGGTGTCATTTATTGCATGTTTAAAGTGAAACACTTACAAATTATAATTCAAACTTTGCGTGGTTTGCTTTTGAATTGTTTTGGCTGTAGTGTGACATGTATGTTGGTTATGATACTCATTTGCTAAGGGGAAGCGAAAAGTGATGATAAATCAAACTGAAGTCCATTTGCTCAATAATTTCCTATGTTTCTAAATTCAAATTTGTGTTTGGCATGCTGCTGGCAGACTCAGCACTTGCAGCTGATTCTGATGTGGTGGGGCTGACTGTTAAAGATGCAGGTCATGATTTGTTTTATTCCGTATTACTTTCCCTTTCCAGCCATTCTTGGTGTTCTAGGTATTATTTTACTCTTGTTAAATGCTAGTTATCTTTTATTTGTGAAAGTTTTTCTTCTATTTTTCCTCTTTTCACTTTTCCTAGCCTTTTGCTGGCTGTTGCACAGAGGGAGCATTTGCTTCACTAATTTTAGATGCATGTTTCATCAGGTGCATTTTAGGTTAGTCCTGTTTATCGTTAGTTATTGCCGTAGTGGTCCAGAAAAGGATTTCTTACCAATTAGGGGTCTAATCAATTCTGACAATGGCGTAAGTTCTGGGGAAATCTGTTGTCAGGTTTTCAGTAACATGGAGTATTCATCTGTAACAGATACATAACCATGAACACCATAAAACACAAGGCTGTCGTGTATTTGTAATAAGGCAAATTTAAAGACAGGCTTTTAAGGTGACGACAAATATTTTCCAGTTGGAAAACTATGTGAAATACCTGTTTTAGATCTTTTTCACCCTCATAATTTTCCAGAGAAGCCAAATGCTAATAGAAGTGAGAGCCGGGTTTCAGAGGCACTGCCTGGGAACAAGCAAAAGCAGGCAGCTGTGCAGAGCAGTGCACGTTGTATGGGCTTTTCATTGGCTTCCAGGGAATCTTTCTAGACATGCACATCATCTTAATTGATTGATAAATTTTGAAAATCTACATTTTTATAAGCTGATCCAGCATCATTTATGGTGTTTCTTGTTGAAACGTCACTTTTACACAGTAAATGTCATGATGCTTGATAAAGAAAATGCTTTATAAAAAAGCATGTCATATGAAGGTATAGTTTCGTCAACTACAGTACTTTCCTCTTCTCAGCCTCCACTGCTATTCACCCAAAAAAAGTTCTTCTGAAATTAAATTATTTATGAAAGAGTCTGGATTTGAAAAAAACCCAAAACAGCACAAGCCATCCATTACTGAAAGATTTTGGTACAGTATCCGGTGTGCTATCATGGCAGAATGGAACTAGTACAATGTGATTTTTCCCAGATGTGGGAAGGCAGAAGCATATGGAAAGTATCTGGATTTATGCTGACATAAATCCAGTGAACAGCTTTTATTTATTTACTTATGCATACATTTATCTGTTTGTTTATTACCAGTGCCAGCAGCTGCTCTCTCTGAGGGCAGGTGTTTTAATTTCTCCGGGCATTACCAGGTGTTTCTTGCTTTTGTGTCAGTGCAGTCATTTATGGGAACAGGAATATTCTAAATGGCAGGAATGTTTTATAACATGAGAAAAAAATGGGCGGTTGTCTTCATCGCTGAAGAACGTAAATCAACTGGAATTCAGAAACGTTTGTTAAGTTTCTGCCCTATGGAGAAATGGGTCATAAAACATTTTATACAGAGAAGTAAATTTTTCCAAATGACAAGTTATTCTTAAATATCTATGTTTACAGAGGAAACTCTGAGAGGAGGGATTGCTAAACAAGACTGGTAGATATGACTGATCCACCAAGGCTTCTTTGGGAATTACTCTTTTTGTTCCAGTTCCTATCTCTTCCCTATTTGCTTGCGATGATGCAAAGAGAAATATATCAGTGGCAAAGAGGTATTCAAGTACAACACTGAAGGGATTATGGAAACGCTTGAGAGGGAAAAATATGTAGAATGGAGATGGAAAAAGAAATGATGGGAGAGAGAGGAAAAATGCGCCTTTTTAATAACAGGGATTTGAACTTCCTTGTCTCAAGCAAAAAGCAGATTTAAAGGGTCTGGAAATTTTTCCTTTACTTTGAAGGGCACTTCATTTTCACAAATCTAGTAAAGATAACTCCACCTTAAACTCCTCTAAAAAATGTCAGAGTAGAGAAGAACAGCATCGCATCCTACCAGTTTGCTTTCTGCTGCAGACCACCCCAATGGAAGGCACACCTGCACCTCTGGTTTTTGAAAAGTTATACAGAACACTTTTAGAAAATGAAAAGAATATGGTATAATTCCCGTGGGTTATTTCCTTGCCTATGTACTACAAGCCCAAAAAGTTTGACTTGATTATTATGCTAAACCCCATGGATTTGTGATGCATAGAAGCAATCCTATATCACTGAAATTATCTTTCTGTGTGTGTGTGATGCTGAGTTTTCAATTACACTTCAAGATGCAAATGACAGTGGTGGACCCCCAAAAAGTAATATCATGTAATTTATGTACTCTTCTGTAATCATATTTTAATTAAATCCTTCCCCACTCTTTTTATATGCTATACTTTTCTCATGTTTGTGAACTATAAACCAAGCTGCTGACAATTGTAATTCAGTATGTTCTGTCCTAAATTACCATGATGTAGTCATTATTCCTCATTTGCCTGATTACATTATTCACAGATGGCAGCAGGGTTTTATTTCACATCATGTGTTAGTTTTAAACAGTGGTTTATGGTAAATACAGTTTATCTGACTTTGAAAACAACGATAAAAGTAACATGTCCACAAAATAAAAATACATAAATATTTTAATAGATGCTTTCATTTAGCAGATTACATTAGAATACAATTCAATTTGTGAATAACTTAATTCAGATGGCCCTTACTTCTGGCAAGAAGTCAACATAAAAGGTGCTTATGCTATGCATCTTTAAGGAAATGGTTGGACTGCACAATGGTTCTGACAATGCATTCAAGCACCGACTGTGAGTATAAGAACACTGGTGCCTCTGTCCTCTTTTGCACCATAGTGATGCAAGACCAAGACTACTGTCATGCCTATACATTCCCATATTGTTCAAGCAGCTGTCAGAAAGCGTGCAGGAAGAAATACTGCTGCAACAACTCCCTCCTATGGCAGAGTTGGTGAAGATCTTTTTGTTTAGAGAGCTTGTACCTCAGTGGGGCGTAGGCCATTTGAGGTAGTTTTTCAAGTCTGTGACTATCTGCTCCATCCACTGTTCAGTGAACATTACCTTCCTAGTGAAGATCACTGTGGACAGCAGGATAGGGGAAAGGTGGGTTCTTAGGCAGCAGGCCATACACCGCCTTGACAACAGGTACAGTTGCTTTTTGAACCTACCTTCAGTTCCGTCCTGTGCTTACATCTGAGGTTCATTTCCAGTCATGGATGAGTTTGTGTTCTTCCTGAAACTGCTTGGTGCAAGGGCTCAGGCTTCCTTGCCCACCTAGACTCCCAAGTGGACTTTACCTTTATAGTGACTGACAGGATAAAACCATTCAGGAAGATCCTTAGCTTGTTTGCCTATGAAAAAAGGCCCTCAAACTCAAAACCATTGTGATTTTAAAACAGGGACTATAGCTTTGGATATTGGAGAGTGTTATGGAAGAGGAAACCTCAAAGAGTTTGATAAGCGGCGTTTATTTTTTATTCTAGTTCAAGCAGCTGTGATGGTTTGCCTGAGGAAAATCTTCAAATTTTG